TACCTGGGCTGACCTGTGAATAAGCATTTTGCATAATGAGGTATTGCCTCTCCCACTGCCAACTCTTTATCCCAAAGCAATAGGACATACATTTTTAGAGGAGGATGGAGCAGATGATAGTGTCTGTGCTTGATGCTTTCCTAAGACTTAACAGAATCACCTCAAGTGACCAAAACGTTTCGTCACAATGGGTAAGCTTACCTCACACCAGCACACTTCTACAACTACTTTTTAATTAGTTTTCATTTATGTTCATTCGCCAGTCATGATATACATATCACTAAGATATTATTGTAGCAGAAAATGTGGCGAATACAAAAAACTAATGTGACTTTGACTTTTATATTTGTTTGGCCCCGTTTGTTCAAATTGAGCACAATATCAGAGACTCTTATTTTCTTATGTGCTGAGAGTGCACAACAGCGAATCCTCTTCTTCTTGTTATTTTTATTGCTTTTGGCCTTGAGGTTAGTTAAAATTGTATTAAATGTGACGAGATGGATTGGCTACGGCGGGACAAGGATAAGCCACTTGCTTAAGAAGTTTCTCCCCAATGGAGCCAGATAAGACGGAGCAGCCTCGTTCCTCGAGAAAAAGGAGAGCGTTGGCTTCCCTCCTCACACATCATGGAATAGTTTGAAGAAAACAAGAGATGAAAAAGTAATTTGGAAATGTCAGTGGGAAAGACGAGCGAGGAGTCAGATGGCGTAGGTCATTTTGAAGTAAACAGAAAGATATGCCTTTAATCCATTGTGTGGATGTGTGTTGTATTCCACAGAGAGGAATATCCTCTGGGGGGAGTCTGTGTGCACGCATTGCACCACTGCTGATTTTGAACAACGATTGGGAAGCGTTGAGACACACACACACCCGCCCGCCGTTTTCATGCCGTCTTTGTTAAGCAGACCCTGCATGGGAGAGGGAGACGTCTGCTGTTGCCTCGCCGCAATCATCGAAGCCCCGCCTGGCGCTGAGACGCTACATGCTTGGACGTGTTTCAGGTCATGGCTGTAGTGTGCAGCGTAGTGCGAGAGGATATGATGGAGATGTGCCTTGGCACTTACAGTACCAATGATATACAGTATATTTCTTAATAATATAGTGTTTAATAATATGAGTCCGTGAACGCTATGTATATTGAGGTGGATATTTTGGCAGCTTTAGAAGTGTTTGTTGCTGTTCGCACCGAAGACATCAAAATGTAGATTTATGTGTCAGAAATAGCAAAATCATCATGGCCCTGTTTCCATTTAATTTAATGTTAATATGGCTCTTTGTTTGTCTAGTGGGTATTATAGACATTATCTTTCAACATTTGTGTGAGTGTGGGTGTGTTTTTCTTTGTGTGTGTGTGTGCGTGCATGTGTGGGTGTGGGTGTGTTTGTGCGCACACGCGTGCACAAATATAATTGGTTCTCAATTATATTTGTTCCAAAACCTTTCACATCAAAAGGTCCTTTCGTCTCAGCTATACATTCTTATTATGTGTGTGTGTGTGTGTGTGTGTGTGTGTGCATGTGTGTGTGTGTGTGTGTGTGCTATTTCATCAGGGAAAGGTGACATAGTGTTTTCATAATGTTCAACAGCCTGCAGCTATGGCCGGCAATAAGTAGGTGAAGGGAAGGTGTTCATAATCAATAGCGATTTTTTATATTGATCTCCTAGGTTGTGTTTCGCCGCATTCAATTCAAATTCAACATTCAACGGTACAGTTCAGTGGCACATACAAACAGTGTTATCTTAGTTGTTGCCATGGCAGCAGTGCACTACGTTGTCTTCCAGTAGAGGTCCCCGCATGCCTGGCCTAGAGGGCAATGAGAGGACCGGTGTTTGCATATTGCTGTTCGCAACAAGACCTGCTCTAGTGTAACAAGTCCCTATAGGTCTGGCCCTCCACTGTTGGGCCGGGCAATGAATCCATATTATAAATCGATGTTGTGATACAAGACCGGACATCGTCTCAGTCGCATAGTGTCGCTCAAAATCTGGGGGTCGTTTTTGCTTACATCGCTTACTGAATGCCTTCAGCAGACTGTGGTGTGTTTTCGGGAAAAAAACGCTTGCCCATGTAGTATTTAATAAGACGTCAACTCTTCAACTCTTTCTTTCTCTGCTGGGGGTTGGCCTACTTCTCCTCCTTCTCCTCATTCTCCTCACGTTTTTGTGCCCACCTGCCCGCCCATCACAAACACCAATTCGTGCGTGTCTGCCAGTGCCAGATCACCTGTGGATATTCTCCATATTCTCTCTCTCCCTCTCTGTCTCAAATCCATTGATTTAAAAACTAGACTCATTTTCTATTAAGTCCTTTAAAAATGCTTTTGTCCTCCTTTCCTCTGGATAATTAGATTCGTTGAGAGCATCTATTAGCACATGCAATTATGTGGCGGTGAACAGCCCTGTGGTGAAGGCGAGAAAGTACTGGCTGACCACTGGTATACCCTGCGGTTCACAATGTGCCTTATAACTTCACTTATCCCTCGCCCCTGGACATCGAAGGTTTACACCTTCTCTTTTTTTCTGTAATAGTTGAGTATGGTTTCTTAGTACCAGCACAGCGGTTCTCGGAAAATGACATGCGACTGTGGCTTCGCATTATCTCCCTCGAGTTGTCTAGCGACTGCTGTTGTTTCAGGGACTTAGCTGGCACTGATGTGTGGGCAAAGGAAGCCGGTGTTGTGGTCCGTGATAGGGGGGCGTTCCGCGTTATCACAATTGAATTGGCTCCGAAAGACCGGCGAGACGCCAAGGTTGCAAAAGGTATGAATAAATAAAAACACAATAGAACAATACGGTTGTAGACAAAGAGGAGCAAAAGACTGTGTTACATACATGTGGTATGTTACACAACAACATACTATTATGGTGGTCGGGCCTTCGTGCGGCAGACAGCCATTATCCAGCTCTCCGGAGGGACACCCTGGTTACCGGCACTTAATGGCTGTGACTTTGCTCTTCGGTCAACATTCAAAGTGCTTTTTGAAGGGGTCCTCATCTGCTTCAATGAAAATTTAGGAGAGTCCTCGTGGCTGGGAGCTGCACAGCGTCTATTAGACACATTACAGTTACGTGACCCTCTGACTATGAACAATATGCGCATGGAATTTAGTTAAAGGTGCTGTAGGTAAGATTTAAGTGTCATTTCTTAGAAGTAAAATAGCCATACGTCAGTTATTGGTGAGCGAAATGCGCTGTGCTGTTTCAAGTTGACCGCGCAAAGGGGGCAAGAGAGATATGGATTTTAAGACCGCTCCCGGCTCATTTCCAGAATCCATCTTGCCTGCCAATAACAGGTATGTGAAATGCAACGCTTCTCAATGGTGGAAAAAACATGGGGAGGGAGGGAGCAGTTAGGGAGGGGAAGGAGTAGAGAGGGAGGGGACGTTCTTTGGTTGTTTAGTTTCCGAATATAGCTCTTCTCTGCTCTCGCTTTACAAATCTCAAGTCTTACCTCCAGCAGCTTTAAATGTGGGGTTAGCGCGTGATTGCGGTTATTCGTTCACTCCCTCATTCATTCATTTGGCTTCATTATGAGTATCGTGCGTAGCGTCGTAGAGTCTTTGTTCACTTCCACGGGATTTCTGCCAACAACAGCATAACATTAAAGTGATGGACAACAGAAAATCCGTAATCGTAGTTATCGAGGTGTGCATTAAGCATCAGCAAATTATGTTCTTTCTATGGATCTATATGGACGTCGAGGAAGTACAAACAACACAAAACAGGGAGGAGGGTGTGTGGGGGGTGGGGGTACAATCCTACAATCCTGACAAGATATTCGGTAGGTGTGTAGTGGATACATCCCTCTGTGATATGTTATGGTTAGCTTACGTTTTTAGATCCTGTTGTCCATCACTTGTAAGGGTTATGGAAATACATATCGCCCAATTATTTTAATGTAGATTTATGTAGATGATGCGGATATACTAGACAAGACAGTAGCCAAGCAGGTGAAAGTAAGTAAGGTGCATACAAACCAAACCGTTTGTGTGCGCGTGTGCGTGTGTGTGCGTGCGTGCGTGCGTGCATACATGCGTGTGTGAATCAATGTGTGAAATGTGAATGGTAGCAGTAAGGTCAACTCTTTCTCTCTTCTATCTGTTCTTGGTGAATCTATTGTCTGTTTGTTCTACCATGAAACAAACATTGAAAAGCATCCATGCAACCATGAAAAGCAACATTGTCGCTGCTCTCTCTCTCTCTGGCCAATGCGCATGACATATTCATGATCCACTCATGAATATCATGAGGTCATGTGTTATATAAGTTTCTATTCATCAAAGGCCACAAGAGGAGAAGTAACAAAGCGTGTTCGTCTATCCATCAACACTCCCACTGCAACGATGCGGTGACAGTGAGCCAGACCATGTATCTCATCCAAAAGACATCACAATGGAGAGAGAGGTGATCTTTGAAGTCGGTGGCTCGTCAGGCAGGAGGGATATTGTCAGAGTGTTGTGAAAGTTGATAGTTGTATGACCCTCTGAAATCTGGCATAGGGCTCCATTTTGCTAGAACAACAAGCCTGAGGGGTATACCAGATGTGTGAGCGGTGGTGTTGTATTTATTCTCTCATTAATTTTTGCGGCTGAACAGATCTGTATGTTGTATGAATGCGATGTCCCGTTTGTTCGTGGTTAACCCGTGGGGGAAAAAAAAACAATCACAATAAAGACTGACCTCGAACAGCCGTTTCTGCGCCTTTCAGCGTTTCGCTAGGTGTCCGACGTTCGTCTCACCTGTGGCCGGTGTGTGTTGTTGTGTTGTACCTCGCAGGTCAATGAGATCTACCACGATGACTCACTGGGGGTCCATATCAACGTCGTCTTGGTGAGGATGATCATGCTGGGCTATGCCAAGGTGAGTGTCCACAGCCCCCTGTCACGCTGTGTAGGCACAGTGCAGGCCTACAGCACAAATACACACGAGTCAGTTTCCATGGGTCCATGTCCTCTTGGATTCTGTCTGGTATTTTTCTACACTGCTCTCTAATGAATGGTGGTCCTGACTAGCTCAACCGGTGGAGCATGACATTAGCGTTGCCAGGGTTACGGGTTCGATCCCCACTGGGACAACCCATGCTAAAAATATATGCGCTATAGTCGCTATATATAAATACATAAGATATGCTGTGTTACAACTAGCTCTTAGAAGTAAGATAAGTACTTAGTGTATAAATGTCTACAGTGGAAGCTGCAGGGGCCTTTTTTCGAACGTAATGTCTGTAATTTGCGTTGCACCAGTGCGCGACTTGATTTTACCCTTAACCGTTGTCTCCAGTAATGACCGTCACAAATCCTCCCCCACCTTGCAGTCCATCAGCCTCATCGAGAGAGGGAACCCGTCCAGGAGCCTGGAGAACGTTTGCCGGTGGGCGTTTGTGCAGCAGAAGGCGGACGCTGAGCACTCGGAGCACCACGACCACGCCATCTTCCTCACCCGCCAGGGCTTCGGCCCCACCGGCATGCAGGGTGAGCCGGCTAAGTAGTAGTTGAGTAGACGAGGATGCAGCAGTATGCACCTCTCTGTCTGTCTGTCTGTCTGTCTGTCTGTCTGTCTGTCTCTCTCTCTCTCTCTCTCTCTCTCTCTCTCTGCTTTTAGCCACCTCCATCATAGCTTCACTTTTAAGGTACTTCTGTTGTAGGGGAGTGCTCCTTACTCGAGAGGGGAGAGGGAGAAAGAGACAGACAGGGAGACAGGGAGACAGAGAGAGAGAGAGAGACCTTCCCAATGACGATATCAAATTAGACTTCATTGATTCGGGTTCTCGCTTTTTAGAAGCTACTTATTATCACAATTGTTTTCCACTCGTGGCTCGATGCGCAGCAGCATTTTCTGTGTGGCGTTTTAAAGGTACATTATGCATGAAGCCCTCCAGGTAGCTATACTAGGCACTAGGCACGCACCACCTTCGCCAAACACATGGATTTTTTTCAATTTTTTCAATGTATTTAGTGGTCTCATTTGGTCTCATTTTTTCAGAGTGCAGTATTTGTTTTTCAGTTAAAAAAAAAAGAGGGAGAGAGAGAGAGAGAGAGAGAGAGAGGGGTGGTAAAAGGTGTAAAAAGCAGCGCTGTGCTGTTCCTCAAAGTGCAGAGCAGGGAACAACCACTTAAATATGCTGTGGTGCGAAGTAGTTATTATTTTCTTGATTGTCTGCCAATTGGCCGCTGCCGACGAGTGTCTGCTGTATGTCACATAGTGATGGGGGATGTAGTATGCAGCAGTGGCAATTACCAGACTATCAAAGATACAAGGACCATTGATCCGTTGATGATGTCATTATTATAAGTCCATGGAGTCTGACCTGAAGAGGGCTCAGCCACTGCAGTTTCCATTTTCTGCCCGGCCATGCATTCAACAGTTTTATAATTGAATACTTTGTGCCTTCATTCTAGGTGTAATGGATGTGGTCTGTGAGCGTAGCTTGTCTAATTCGCTGATGTACAGGGGTTAGCGCTGCGCTGAGAAAAAAAAGCTACCCATGACCTGTGTGTGTGTGTGGCACCCACCTATGTAATTTATCACACAAAGTATATATATATAATATATAACGTTAAATGACCATTATACATCAGCTCAGTAGCTTGGAACGGCATACGCTTGGAACGATTGGAAAGCATTTTACTTGATATATACTAGCGACTAAGATAAAATATGCAAAAAACGTCAGTATACAATATAGAGCTATCTAGCAAGCACAAACGTTTGGATCAAATAAAATATGATGAAAAAGAGAAGCCTTGACAAACCAAGCGTTGTTTTATGTTTTATTGTTGATCATTTATGTCTCTTCCAAGGCAACATCATTTTTATCTTGCCCACAACTATTACGTCTAGACAGAAGAATAAGATTACCATCTCTGCCCTAAACTGGCGCTGTTGTGACCAGAAAACACATTAAAACAAGACACAGGTGACATGTTGTTTTTGTTCTGCAGCACTTGGGACGCATGCTACTTGGGATCAAAACAGGAGATGACAGGAGCTTAAGGTGACATTTGAACGGGACGGGATTAGCAAGAAGAAAAGCGTTGGAGCACAACAGCACAGGAATAATGAAATAGCGATTTGGCTAAATGAAGACGGTGAGCCACGACTAGTGAGCAGACAATATCTCATCATTTCATCCACGGTAGCCAATCTGAAATAACGAGAGTGAGAAAATCTGAGACGGATAATCTATGTCAGGAATTAAAGACCCCGCTGTTTGCCTGGTTCTATCCCATCTTCCACTTTACTCTGTGCCTCTACTTTTTAGAAGCCACTTATTATCACAAATGTTTTCCACTCATGACTCGGTGCACAGCATTTTCAGTTTGGTGTTTTAAAGGTCCAGATAGCTATACTAAGCACGTACGCATCACCGTTGCCGAACATTGGGATAAGGAACATGGATTTTCTTTCCAAAATCGTTGAACTTACATTTTAAATGGCATTAAAAGCAACGCTATTTCTAAAGGCATTCATACGACACACATGATGTACTACATGATGTACAGTTACCGGGTCTACCTCATGAAAATATGCAGATTAAACAACTATTATATATACATATTCAATGTATATAGTCGTGACCATGATTCCAATATGATTGCATGAGTCTTGCAACGCAATTTATCCTTGCCTACAGGGTGTATTCATTTTAGTGGCGAAAGGCATGTCTTTGAACTAAACGGTTGCGCCGCTACAGTTATATGAGAGAGCGCCTCCATCTCGATCGGCCTCCCTCGTCCCTCAGCCAGCAGGGGAAACCTGAATGATGAATGTGTATGTAGACCTCTGGTAGCGAGTGCTCTTTAATGGGGTGCCAAATCCCACCACCTCAGGCATGTAAGTCCTTCAAAGACCATTATCCGGTTCCATGGCATCGGCTCAAAGTCCTCCAAAGCCAAGTAGGCAACTAGATGTAACATTGAATGTTCCTGTTAAGGTTCTGTTCTTTTCAATGATTAGAAATTTAAAAATGAGTGCAGTCATTGCTGGACAAAACCATGCAACCAGTGTAAAAGAAACCCCACAACAAACATCATATCACTTCAATCCTGTAACAAAAACTGTCAATAGGGCTTGCACATCGCGACATAACATTGCAATGGCCGCCGCCATTTTGGGAGCATAGTGGCATTGAAATCTTAGTTATTCTGTCGGTAATAAATTGTTTTTTGGTCATTGATTAGTAATTAATCATGAAATGATTTGAGTGCCACAGCGGGCACAGCGAGACGTGGCAAAAAAACAAAGATTTCATTAGCCTAGGTTAAACACAAAATACCTGAAGCAAACAAAATGCACAGAAAATACAAAATACATGAAAATGTCTGCTTGGTATATAACCATAAAACTATACCGTAAACTTGTGACTTAATAGGACTGTCGTCGTGTATTAGAGTGAGGGATGAAAGATGGCTTTAAAGATGACTTGCTACATACACTGTGTCGCTCCTCTCCCCAACATGGAGGACAAGAGGAGGGGCGTTCAGGAGCACCCTGGCATCCACCCACAGGGAGAGTGCTGGATCTCGACCCTTACTTTTACATTTCTGAGTAGTCGGCGGTCAGGGCATCGCCAAGTGCTGGAAGACCGTTCTCCGTGCTCCACACACATCCTTATAGCCAGCAAGGTGACCTTTTCCATTGTCATTTATTTGTGAGAAGGGCGATTTAGAAAAATGCTGGTTTAGTCGAGAGTTTGAGTTGGGTTTTGTTTATCTGCCTGGCATGCAAACAGGCATCCATGCACAGCAGTGGAATAGGCTGAGGGATTCTAGTGCTGGATGAGCCTCTCTCTCCATTAAGGGTAGGGAAGGGGGGCAGAGGGACACACTGTGCTACATCGTATGATCTTCTGATTGGTGCCAGATGTGATAGAAACCCTAGTCGACGTGATTGCTCCGCTGCAGACATCATCCCCCCAGACAAGGGGGGTTGTGGAAGAGTCCTCAGATCCTCAGCCTTCCAGCGCCATCCTGACCTTAACATTTTTATTTGATCCCCCCCCCGCGCGCCCAGCCAGCTGACCTTGCCCGGCTGGCCAAGGTGCTGCCTCCTTACAGACATCAAAGTAGTAAGCGCAGTAGTAAGATGGAGCCGACTATGCGTGGTCCTGCCTGAGGTTGTCGAAGCGGTCGAGGCTTGCTGTGCAGGGAGGTGAACCCAAACACACAGAGATCAGACTCAGAAGGGTAGATGAGTTAGGAAGCTTTACTTTATGTAAACAGGCAGACAGAGACAAACCTACAACCAACAAGGAACCAACAAACTGGGGCAGGAACTAAGGAGCAGGTGACAAACATTACACTAACAACACAAACGAACAAACAGGTAATGAGAAGGTTGGGGCAGGATCTGTACACAAAGCAGCAGTTATCGTCAGGATCAGCTGAAGTGATGAATCCCATGCCGATCAGGGCGGACACATCCACACCTTCCTTGGTGATGCTATTTAATGTTATATTGTATTCAAATTACCCTTGGGTGGAGAAAAAAGTGGGTTATAGATACACACTGACGTATGGAATTGATGCGGATGAGGAGCATCAAGGGGGCTCATGATTAACTCAAGTGTTTAGTGCTGGGCTCAGGTGCAAAATCAATCTTAAAGGGCATAGCTTAAGAGGCAAATACAACATTCCCATTCATTCGATGGGGAGCAGAAAAATAATTTGTCGATCAATCAAAAGACAATCGTTGTCTATTACTATTGTCATCTGTTGTTACTTTTGTCCAGGGATTAGTCAACAAAAGAACATTGTCTTCAGCCAACCGCATTAGTTGTTTTCTTTAATCCATAACGATTAGGAGAGGATTGCCTGCCTGCCTCCTTTGTAGGCATCAGCGGCAGAATCACTTGAATATCGTCTATGGGGAAATTACATAATAATCACTGTTCTCCGGGCTTTGTTTGACCTATTGTGGGGTTTTGATCAGCGGCAAGGCATGCCACAAGGCAAACAACATGAAGCGCTCCTGTGGTACCGTGACAGGGTTTGATATTGAATAGTTTCTACGGGCAGAGTTAAACCACACTAAGTGATTGTATTTCACCGCATCTCGAGAGAAGGAAGACTGGTTGATTG